TGAACAGAATTACTACGCAGAGAATTCATTAGGCATCGCAGCATGTTGCTAGGCAAGTTTCAGGGCATATCAAGGTACCAAGTCTAATTTCAAGGGAGCATAAAAAGGGTGGCTGGTTGCAGTATCTTTAAGTTGCTGGTACCTCTTCCTCCTCGTCTTCTTTAAACCGCTCAATCCAAGCCCTCATCTGTTCCAGGTCACAGTCGGGTTCAATCGCTGTTGTTGCCACGAGGGTAGCTGTAAAAATAGAATAACCACATGCCCTGAATCGCTGCTGAATAATTGTATTTAGGGCGAGAAGTTATCGCGAGCGAAGACAGGCATTAAATCAGTTACAATAAATTATTCCTAAACACATGACATTTCACAGTTAGTTTCATTTTATCTTCTAGGACTTGGTCAATTTATGCCGCTTTGAAGTCGATCCTAACTTGAATTCTGGCACGCGACTAGGTACAAGGTGTTACTACTCACAAGTTTCTCTAAGCTGTGACAAGTCGTAACAGTGTTTCTCATATTCCTTGAATCCAACACTGTAGATCTGTAACTTGACTGGTTCAGGACATGGAATAGGCCTACCGAGAGTCGAGGGCAAAAATAAGTTAGCAGTAATCAATGTGATAACAAAATTCTCTGACTCCATTCAAATAAAAGACGCTCAGTAACTACTGACGATATCACGGCACTCTTACCCTGCACTTGAGTTTGACCGTTCTGTTCTTCTCTGTTGAGGAAAAAAAACAATCATTGTGAAGATGGCACTGCTAGAAGGATTGAAATCCAGAAGGCCAAAGTACAGTGGAGTATGTAGCCCACTAACCTTGACTTTTTGCAACATGTTGGCCTGGTTTCTTCGACTAATTCGTATTCTAGATGGGAACAATCTGCAGGGTTCTATAACAATAATAAAAACATTTTTACTTTGCGCTTAGGTATCTTAACATCAATAAGCACTTTCAAATACCTCACACAAAGGCTGCAGTTCATAAAGGAGTTCTATCATGAGTTACGCATGCGCGAGCTTGTAGAAACTCTAAAAAATCGGACAAACCTTTCTTACAAAAATGTACGTACACTGTAGAAACGGCCATTGCAGCAAAGAGAGAATTCTAGCTACAAGAAGATACTTGGATAAAAAGCGAAAGGTAGGAGGAATAGGATTGATATCTTGAAAAAGATAGTAAGTATCTTGAGTAAAGACAAGACACAACAAAGCAAAACACGATGACCAGAAAGTTTTTCAGGTACGCACCTCCATCCACTTGCATTGGAAGAGACTTGCTTGTTACAAGAACAGCTTCTTTGCACTGTGCTATCCTTTCACCATGTCCTCCGACACGTGTCGTAGCCTAGAATACATCAGTACAACAACTAAGAAAACTGTCCACTCCAATCGCAGATAACTAAGAGTTTCAAATCCTCTCTACAGCCCTGATTAACGTTTTTTACTCACCAACGTGGCTGACGTGAGGCCAATCACCTCCATATAACCATCGTCAAGTCTTTGCGGCTGAAAATCCTGTGAGGACAATTCCAAATAACTCAAAATCAACAGCTGAAAGAGCCCTGTGCGTCTCTCTAGCACCGCCGGCGTGCTCAATGATAGAGACGACTAAGATTCAAGTCAAAAAATTACTCATAGCGTGAAACTACAAGGTCTCATATAGTGCCATATGAACACAGTATTTGTCAATCGGTTACAATTCCCAGTGCGCACCTAACAATTAGACGCACTGTACACAACTGTGCAACCGTATTCAGTATATGGAAGAATTTGCAGACTTGAATCTCTTAAAAATGTCTTAAAATCGTTTAAATCAGTTTCGAGTGCGGCTGAAAATAAGCACACAGCAAAAAGAAGTCTGTTTACTTACGCACTGGGAACTTAAGATAATCAAATTTCTTTAACTGCGGTTTACCGATTAAGTTTCAATATTCAGATTCAAAGAGTTTCTCCAGTGCATTCCTGTCGTCTAGTCACAAACAATACTCACACTATCTTTACCGGGATGACCCCACGGCGATGTCCCAGCGCTATACCTACAAGACAAACAAACGGCGAAGGAAGAAAGGTAAGCAGGAAGAAAAATACACGACAGAACGGTGAATTTTCTGATTCTTAATTCAGTTACACAACAAGTGATAGAACTTACGAAGGAATATTCACAAATAAAAGGCACAAAGGTTTCGTTTCTAGAAGTTTTTCAGTCATGTCAACTCCATCGCACTGCAAGAAAACAAATAAAAAGCAAAAGATTGCTGTCTGTCTCTTTATTTATTTCTTTGTTTATTTTCTGGAGTGAAAACAACTTTCTTTACAAGTAGAATATTCTTGTTTGTTTGGGACGGTGGCACTAGGATGAAACTAAAACCACGTAGAATATGATTCTTCCTAACGCAACATAACTTCTCCTCAGAGAACAGTGACCGTTTTGCTACCATAAATTATTAAGTACACATACCTCTATGGTCGTAAATGTGAAAAAATATCGCGCTTTTCTTTGAAGGAAAGTTGCAGTGCTGGCCTGCAAAACAAAAAAGACACTGACCAAATAAAATCGTAACTTGCATTGACTATTTATCAGAACTTTGTTTCCGCCAACTTCAGTTATTTGAGAAAATCACTACATCACGTACAATACAACAACTACAGCATTTCAACTTCCTTAGGTAACAATAGTTTGTTTTTATTCTTATCTATAAGGTCATTAGTTGTCGCTATATGAAGCGTCTATGTACACTGAGTGACATTAAAAGTGTGACTACNAACACCACAACCTAGTAGCCAGAACAGGACTTGAACCTGTGACATCTGAATTTCAAGTCCAAAGTCATGCTGTCTACCATAAAGTGTGCTAGAAATTGGACTCAAATTTAGCCTCCTGTGATTCACTTTCTATCATTACTTTATGAAAAGATTACAGTGTCAGTGGACCTCAAACATAAGAATAAATAAATGATGCTAACCATTGGCAAATTATTGGGAAGTTGAGGCTCATTATTATCTTAGGCAACATAAGCCTCTCCAATGTAACCACAAATATTTCTCAGCTGTTACCTGAGAAAGCCTACATTAAACCGAGCCACCTACCCCTCCCCAGTTGAGAACTCTTGACAAGTCATTTCCTGTTCCAAGTGGAAGTACAGCCACAGGGGGTGGGGGTGTAATTTTTTGTTTGTCAAGTTCAGACAGGACCCAGCCAACCTGATTAAAAAAAATAATTAATAAAATTGAATAAATTACATGTAAACAACTGCAAACAAGCACCAGTCAAACTTAACATAGGCTCACACTGGTAAATTAACTTGCTTACATGCAGAACTCCTAGAAAACCTGAGCATTTCTAAGTTCTCTGGTTTTGACTGTTATGGACCTAATTAAATATATATAATGGCCCTACAAGACTCCTGACTTACATGTACAGTATACTAAGCAAGAGGTATAGACAGAAGTGTAGTTTTCAATTGTAATCTGTAACTTACTGTTCCATCTCCTCCACATGCCAGTATCCTAAGATTGGGAACCTTTCTGTATAATTCCAAACTGTGGGATAAAATGAAAGCATGTACATGTACATCATTAACCGTTCATACTTTCACCAAATGATCTACTAATCAATTAGCATGAAAACACATTACTGGACTGACGATTTATGAAGATTTTCATAAAAAAGCCAGTTACACGACAACCTGCAATAAGATTTACTTCAAACTAAAATGCGTTTTAAAGTTTTTGGCTACATGGTACAAGCATAAAATTTGCTTGCGCTGACCTCACCTTGGGTTGTCAACTTGTCGCAGAGGTGAGGCTTGTGTGTTTCAGTGACCCTAAGAGCTATGCTGGCTGGGACATTTTGTCCCTGGTAGGTTCAACCTTGCCAGATTGGTCGAGGGGTAGAAACCTGACAAAGAACAGCCCCTAGTCCTCCAGGTTGGAGGTTTAGCGATGGGACAATCACCCATCTACATAAAACAGCATTAGATTACTGAGACCTCAAGCACACTAAATCAGTCATCTCTTGGGGCCACTGTGGGACTTTTCTCAGGTGAGTAAAGTATGATGCAACTTGGTAAAAGCCTGGGGCCGACCAAACCTTTAGTGACCCCGAGAACTCAACTCAAAATAGGGACCTGGAACATGAGATCTATGTATAGTGCAAAAATATCCGCCCAAGTTCCAGAGGCAGGGTAGACCTAGGACAACATGGAGGAGAACAGCAGAGAAGAAGAGAGAGAAAGAGCTGGATGGAGGAGCTGGAGCAAGGTGTCCACTGCAGCGGCCAACCAAGCTATTTGGCAACAGAGTGTTGAGGCCTTAAGTAGTTAGGTGATGCTGAAGGTACCTGAAGTAACTAGTTTCTGCCTTGAGTGAGATGGTTTGTCCTGTGATTGAATTTGGTTATGTTCTGGCAACACTGTGTGATTAAAACTGTGTGATTAATTAGCATGCATACCCTAATCTGGGACCTCCTTTTGACAGATCAAACACTTGTCTCGGATTCAGCATCCATTGAAATTTGTGCATAATTTTTGTACCCTATGATAGGAAAATAATACATTCAAGAAATGTTACAAAACATATTAACCACAAAATCACAGTACAGAACTACTTAAAGGAAACTTTTATAAATAGAACATACTGTAACTTGCATAATAATATACATGAAAAAATCACTCGATTCTGATTGGCCAAGAGCAGTGCATTTCAAGTGTAACACCAGTGCAAATTACACATTGTAATTCTCAATTATTGGCTGAAAGACAATAGGTAATTTTCTAAGCCAATGATATAATGTAAAATGATGATGACAATTTTGTGCGGAAACTTGGCTTCAAGAAAGATCTTCTAGCACTTCCTCCACGCAAATTTTTTCATGTTTATATTATTAATAAGTAATCATACGGTTTTTCTTATTCAATTTGGAATTAGTTTGCATTTGTCAGTTTTCCAAAAAGCTCACTCGTGCATATTAATTCCAAATTGAACTTGAAACCGTATGATTACCTATACAAATTTGCTTCACAGCACACACAGTGACCATGTTGTGACACATTTACAACTCATGCCTCAGCAGTCTTATCATCAATGCCATTTCTTGATTCTAAAAGGTTAATAACATTAAGTAATTCACCTGATTTCCACCACTCTTAGGGTTAATAAACACAAGCAGAGGTCTGCGTTGAGCTGATCCAGAAGGTTTGATCTAACAATGTAACAAAAAAAATGTACACTCACGGTATAACAACTAAATGCACAAAGTTACTGTTGGATACATAAAGAAATTAATGAGAGAACTAAATGGCACAAATTGTGCTTACAAGTGGTAATTTAATGTGGACTCACATGAACAGTGATAAGGGGTATTTTAGAAAGCAAAAAGTTTGAACAAATAATATGATTTATTCATACAAATACACCCTGCAGCTCATTACATGAAATAAAAGAAAATAAATCAGTGCTTACCACAAAGGGTCTCTTCTCCTAAAAAAGAAGAAAAACACAGGCCAGAGCTAAGTCTTGACCTTGTCTCACCATTCACACAAATTAACACAAACTACATCAAACACGGTTCATAATACCTCTTTAAGAGGCCCTATAATTTATGCACAACATGTAAGCCTATGTACTAAAATCTGAGCTAAATTGAATAACTATAAAATAAGAAGAGTCAGATTAATAAAAATTACCAGCTAATTTAAATTCTTATTCTAAGGCATCCTGAATAATACACAATATGGTTTCAGTTGCTATGACAGAGCAGTGGGTCTAGTTACCCTTACCCAAAGATGAGAAGAACTGAGTCAGATATGGATTAATGTAGATTTTTTTTTTTTGGTTGAAAAAAATAAAAACAAACACACTCTCACTAGGTATCTGTTCTAATGTTTTGAAATTTCAAACATACAACCATAATATGCCATAGCTGTGCCCTTTTTACTTCCAAAGTGTAATTACTTAGTACCCAAAAACTTTTTAATGCCAGCATATTATGCCTTAGAAGACAAGATTCTTCAGTGCCTGAACGTTTTAACAATTTTAATTTTACTTTAACTGTTAGCCAGGAAAATGCTTAATGTTAATAATAGTTATTTTACAGCATTACAGCTCAATTTAATTTATTATAATTACGCAATGATTAACAATGGATCACAAAAGCAATAGCTGAGTTAATTTTATTATGTCAAAAATGTTAAAAAATGTTAATTTGTGTTCCCTTGGAACCTTACATTAACAGCAAAAGTGTCGTGCTCAAGAAACCATTGAATGTCGACCACTTCATCATCTTCACCACTGTCACTACTTCCGTCACTCTGTTTAAGGGTTTATTAGCAATAATAAATAAAAAGCAAGTGAATTTTTTTACCAAGCTCAAGTTGATCTTGAATGAAAATATTAGCAAATTAATCTTAAGTTAGAGAGAACGGCTGTGCATTAAACATGCTAAATCATATGATGATTCATGTTAATTTATTTTTATTTAGTTTACATGCATAATTTTCAAAATTTTTGGCAGTTAATTACAATATTAGAATTAGAGCAACAAAGTATTCATAATAAAAATAATGCTACAAAACATGCTAAACTGTCATGAATGTATTGTACCTTCTCATTGTAGACTTTTAAATAGCATATTTTATCTATCATAATTTAATTATGATTTGGGCATTATTACATGTACATGTAATGACAACTTGTTTTTTCCCACACTATAAGAAACGTTTTCAACTACTCTCAAGACAGCTTGAAGTGAAAATGTTACACAACATAATTATTTATTTATAAACAAACCTTTGTTGATTTTCTCTTGAGAGGTCTCTTTCTAAAGCTGTTTCTTTTCATTGATGATGCTCTTGCCTAAAAACATGATTTGTAGCAAAATAATTCAGTGGTGGAATTAAAGCGATTCAGTTTATTCAACACAGAAGCAAATCGAAAGGTTGTGGAACATAAGTACCTTGAATAACATTTTTGACAGACAGACAGACAGACACACAGACACACAGAACGATAGACAGACAGACTGATAAATGGATGGATGACTTAATAATACACTTCTTTACACAGTTAATAAAATCTGACAAAGAAAATGTGGTATAATGCATTTTATTAAAAACTGGATCATTGGATAATGCAATTTGAGATGAGCCATTATACCATGCCATATTTGCCATACAAATATGGCAACTGTATGCATGATTTCTTGGGATGCTTTAATTTTTAGTGAAGATTAGTTTGCGATATTTTAGGGGCATTTTTAATAAAAAATTATTCCACTCATGCTTGTTGGATATGAGGTGATTATAGCCAACTCGGCACTTTGCACCTTGTTGGCTATATCTACCATCTTACATCCAACATGCGTTCAGGGAATAATTGTTAAAGATATAATTAATGCTAACAGTAGTAATTAAATAAAAGTTATAATTAAACAAAAAAATGAAAAAAAANTAAAGCTGTTTCTTTTCATTGATGATGCTCTTGCCTAAAAACATAATTTGTAGCAAAATAATTCAGTGGTGGAATTAAAGCGATTCAGTTTATTCAACACAGAAGCAAATCGAAAGGTTGAGGAACATAAGTACCTTGAGTGACATTTTTGACGGACAGACAGACAGACAGACACACAGAACGATAGACAGACAGACTGATAAGTGGATGGATGACTATTAATAATACACTTCTTTACACAGTTAATAAAATTTGACAAAGAAAATGTGGTATAATGCATTTTATTAAAAACTGGATCACTGGATAATGCAATTTGAGATGAGCCATTATACCATGCCATATTTGCCATACAAATATGGCAACTGTATTCATGATTTCTTGGGATGCTTTAATTTTTAGTGAAGATTAGTTTGCGATATTTTAGGGGCATTTTTAACAAAAAATTATTCCACTCATGCTTGTTGGATATGAGGTGATTATAGCCAACTCGGCACTTTGCGCCTTGTTGGCTATATCTACCATCTTACATCCAACATGCGTTCAGGGAATAATTATTAAAGATATAATCAATGCTAACAGTAGTAATTAAATAAAAGTTATAATTAAACAAAAAAATGAAAAAAAAAAGACCTTACTCTTTTTGGGGGGAGTTTAACCACCCATGATGGTGGAACTATGAGGTTTGCATGAGCTCCTAAGTCACACATTTCATCTATTTTATGCATCTTGAAACACTCCACTTTGTTGTGATACTGAAAGAGATTTACCAACCCATTAATTTGACATTTACAGTACCAGATTATCAGTAGGGAGTTTAAGCAAATCACTACGGCTGGTGCTACTACAGCTGCCATGACTGAAAAGGTCTGGGGAGAGTACGTCTCGGTGGTCTGCCAAATTTTAAGTTTAGCGAGTAAAGCGAAATACAAAGATGAAAGAAACATC